ACGGCTTGAGTGGTGGTGGAGATTTTTCCTCTGGTGGTTTGTTTTTTGGATGCGGGTTTCCCGAGTTCCGGAGGAAAGAGTGGGGATCGAGGGAGGAGGGGGGGGGGGGGGATTACGGATGTCGCTTCGGGGCGGGGCGGGGGGGAGAAGAAGAAGAGAGAAGACGTTGGTTGCTTGACGGAACCCGAACGGCGGGTGGTGCTCCACTGTGTGGACGGTGGGCATTTCTGGGCGTATCCGTACCGGTCGGTGTTCATCCTCGGTACCTTGGCCCGATTCTTGGGACGGTTGACGGGATGGCAGGCTTGTTTTGACATCCATGAGCTAAGATAACCTAAGGGACTTAGAAACGGGTAGGACAAGCCCATTTTCGCTCAAGCTGAGATCGAGGCGTTTTCCCCGTTGGCTTGGTTCCGGGCCCCATGGCACACGGATGTTGGTTGGGGCCTTCAGTGCAGGGGACTTGGAAAGGATCATGGTCAATGACAGGCACGAATGGGTGATCGGTCGCCTGGAACGATCGATGGGTGGAAATATCGCGATGCTTCCCTGGGGCTCGCTTATCGCTATCGTGGTCGCCACTTGCTCACGTCCCCTGAAGATTCGAAAGGACAATCTCCCTTAAGACTCCGTACCTTACACACTCGAACGAGTACTGAGGTGCTCCAACAGTTGACACCTACAGACCTTGGAACTACAGTGCTGAACCATCAGGCTTGCCGCCCTACCGGTACGGTAATGCCGTTCCGCGTCTCCCACCTTCCACCACCACACTCAGGTGAGATGGGTAATCTTAGCAGAGGTTACGCATGACGTAGTATGCAGTCCTCAAACCTGGAACGTGTACCGCGGGCATACGGCAACAGCATACGAGCAGCTAAGGTATCGCTCTCGCCCCCTCGTTCCTTTTGTTTTCGCCGGGCTGCCGCATTGTCTCGAACGGAAACGAAGCTAGGTGAGGGGATGGGCCAGGCCCGTCTGTGGTTGTTGGAAAATGTTGCTGTCATCCTACTGTTGTCTGAGGGAAGGAATCCCCCGGGTGAGATGGAGGGGGGAAGAAGGGGGGAGGGACGTCAAGATGGATACTGTGTAAGCATGGGAAGGAAAGAGGCACGCCGCGCCAGACAATAATAAATCTTGGTTGCTGCCTCTGCAGGGTCGCATTCCTCGATCTTTCTCCCTCTCTCTTTCTCCTTCCACAGCTCTTGAAGTCTTTTTTTTTTCTTGTTCCTCTCAAGTCTCGCAATTCGGTCGCGTCAGGGCTTGCTTTGCTGCCCCGTCTGCCCTCCGTCGCGTCTTTTTGGCCGGCACAACCTCACCCTACCTTACCTTACCTCCCTGACTGCTACCTACAACCTGGTCGACTTTTCTCACCTGCACCTTATTTTTCCATCTTTTTCGGCGTCTACCTACGGATACCTACTTCCCGACCGAGAGTGTATTTCCAGAGGCTGGATTCGCCCAACGGCAATCTCAGGCAGTCCCGAGCTGCTGTATCGTCACTCGTTCTTCTCTCGTCTTTTATTCTCGCCAACTCTTCTTCCCCGCGCCAATCCGTCGCCAGTACAACCAAGAAAAAAACCATCGCAACGCAATTTTTTCGACGACGCCTTGCTCTTCCTCAAGAATCGTCAGCGACACGCCGCTTTCGTATTTGTTATTCAGATATACCATCCGCTCGATACCCATCAGAACTAGGCCGTATCCTCTCCGCACCTCAATTTATCCGACGATTCTCAACTTCGGACGGTAGTGGGGGCCATTCCCACCATCTCCAAAAAAAATATGACCGCCGGCGCCTCCATCGACGCCCCCCTCCGGCCCGCCCTCTTCAAAAATTCGGGCCTGCCAAAGTCCGACTCTTCCGTCTCCACCAGAGCTCCATCCTGCAAATCCATCCGCGTCACCGGCGCTCATCCTCTCGGCTCTTTGCACGTACACCAGCCCGTCGACTCCTCCCTGTCGCAACAAGTCGCCATGGACCCCAACACCGTCTCCGACGACGATGAGCCCCCGCCTCTGGCCCCCATCGAGACTCTCGACATCGCCGCCAGCACCGCCCAGCAGGTCTCGCCTCAGCATGAGTATCGCCTTGGCGGAGGAGATATTGTCCTCGTCATGGACTTGCCTGCTCACTTCACCGTAGGCTACGACTCTGTCTCCTTCACCGCCCGCGAGTTTGTCGGCGTCAGGGACATCCCCCTCGGTTCGCACTTCTTCTGGGTATCGGAGACGGAGGCTAGCACCACGCGCTCTGGTTTCTGGATCATCAGCACGGCCGCCGAGAAGATCCACGTCATGCAGTGGGACAAGTTCAACGAGGTCATCGGCGAGCCCGCCAGTCAGGTCGAAGCCCGTTTCCAAAAGGATAACATCCAGGACATTTACCCCAAGATGGCACCCTACCAGTTCCGCGCTCTCAATGCTACTGTCAAATCGGCTACATCCGGTTCTTCTAGTCCCGAACCCGAGTTCGCAAGAAACACCAATATCTGGCAGCAGCTCACCAATGCCATCACCGCGCCTCTCTTGAGCAGAATTACCGCCCGCCAGGCTAGTGACTGGGCTGTGCATACCTCAGACCGCGTGAGGGGTGCGCTTATGCTTCCCGCCGAGCTCGAGCTTGAAAAGAGAATGCCCAGTGTTGTCGCGAGCACAGAGTTGAACTTTACTTTTAGCCAGGGCGCAAAGACCTACGATGCAGAAAGCGTTGGCGCTCAGCGTACTGAGCAGGCAGTTGATGCGACTGCTCACTTGCTTTCCAGCGGTGCTAGCGACGATGACGTTGTCGGCGAGCTTCAATTCGCCTTCATCGTCGGTATGCATCTTGGCAACGAGGCGTGTATCCAGCAGTGGTGGCACATGCTGGTATCCATCATCCTGAAGAGCTATACCCTGCCCCTCAAGCGCCCGGAGCTGGCCCGCTCGCTCCTGCAGACCATCACGGCTCAGCTTGTCTATAACGAACGCTACCTCGATGGCTCTGTTCTCGACTATGATCCTTCATATGCCCGTGACCTTCGCATGGCCCTGATCGTCTACAAGCGGCGACTCAATGAAGTACTCCTCGGCCTCAACTCGCTTGCCACTCCTGAACAGGCTGCCGTCGGTCAGGCCTTCTCTGAGCTTGAGACGTGGGTTTGGAAGTTTGGCTGGGATATCAGAAGCGACTACCTCAGAAAGGGAAAGACTATGCTGGAGGACGGCGAGGAGGTGGAGCTTGAAATGGACGACCTTGAGGCCGAAGATGAGCGCGGCGAGTTCGCTGCCGTGGTTGTTGAACTAGACGAGAGCGGAAAGCAGAAAGATCTTGTCTCGTGGAATTAGGGTTCCGGGGTCAGGCGCTGGTTGGAAGCAAAGGAGAAGCGACGTCGACACTCACAGTCATGTGCCAGCAGCATTAACGGCACTCAGGGAATCAGCACCTCTGAGACGGGTACAGGCACCACCGATACGAGCACTTTTAGCACAGCTGCCAACGGTAACCCGTTTCTGTCTCCGGTTCGGCCTGTGGGCGTGAGGCCGCGGCGCTTCTCATCTCGAAGAACCTCCATCATTGATATGGTTCGACCAAAGTCTCGCAACTCGAGCATGATGCATGTTGACTTTTAAGTATGGGCATCAAAGGCATGGATGGGCATCATCATTCGGCATCATTCAGCGGGGAGTTTTCAGGTGTCTGTTTTCTTTCTTGGCTTTTCTTATTTCGGGGCATTGAAGCATCGATTGGGGCCTGGCATTGTTTGACTTTTTCTTATCATCTTCCCTTTTTCCAACTCTGGCTTGTGCAGGGTTATCGGGATGGCTTTCGGTCTGCGTCTGCGTCTGCGTCTGTGATATAGGGCTGGCGCGTGAGAAGGGAGGATTATAGGTGATATGGCCCTACTCATGGCTCGGGTAGTTTTGATAGGCCGTACTTTGTATGACTGTATGTCTAGCTAGGAATCATCCCTTTTTTGCTACATGTGTGTTTTACTCTGGATCGTGAAGTGAGACTTGACGATGGCTCACATGGGAAACTGAGCCCTTTGCCTGGGGGAATCTGGAATGCCTTTGAAAGTCTTGTATTCGATCCACGTGGAAGAGACCTACTGGCTTGGACATGGGACTTTGTATGACTGGGCTGTTCGTTGACGTCACGTCTTCGGTATGCAATCACATACGCATCGGTCGTCCTTGTCTGTGGCTCGTCTCTTTTGTTCTTTTTTTTTGTCGGTCGTCTCGCCGTCAGTCAGTGACGAGAGAACAAGGTGGAGACTGGATGAGTCTCTGTCAAAGAAAGGTTTTGGGTAAGGAGTCAGGCCAGAGAGATGATTAAAGGTACATTCTGACTGGTTCGTCAGATTTGGCTTCAGAATCTGGGGAGGGAGCGGGTGGCAGACGGAGAGAATCCGCATGGTGGGATCAACGCGATACCCCTATGATGAGACATATATCCAAGCCCTCTCCCTGAGACGGTAGGCGGAATGGCGAATCTCTGCAGCAAGGGACGGGTCCAGAGGCCCCGAGATATCAAAGCCGCCCCCATATTAAATGAGTTAAACAAGGCTTTTCCCACCCTCCGGATATTTTGCAATCCGTAGGACATATGATCACCAGAGGTTGAGGAAGAACATCACATAGGTTAGGATTTATGTGTTTGTATATATGTACCACCTACCCTTTTTGTGGGAAATATGGTGGGAGGGGGAGAGTGTAGGTAGATTTCAAAGTGGTGGTGGACAACACTTAGCACGCCGTTGACAGGTCTTGGTCATTAAAGGGGAATGTACATAGAGGACAGGGGATGGATATGTTAGAAGCACGCCCACTGCATTCAGGCACAACCATGGGATATCAATACCCTTTCTGAGATCACACACATTCAGTTCGGTCCACGGATTTCCCACATTAGTCAGACAAATCGCCATCATCAGGTCTGGACAGCCTTACAATACAAGGATAGGTTTCGAATAGAGAACTACGCACGCACGACATCAAGACGTCATTGTTTGGTCAACTTTTCATGAGATGATCTTCCTATTACTACCTGAGCAGTAAGCCGCCCTCGACAGGGCCATGTCTGATATACACAATCATCTAATGCCTTTGCCGCCTGTCGAGCTTTCGACTTGAGCCATCCATTCTTGCTCGTGGAAGAGCATCAAAAGTGACTGGACCCCATTAGGATCTATATTGCAGTCCTCGACACCTATCATCGTGTCGTCTCCGTTCCGTCTTAACTTTTTGTTCAACCTGATCCACGTTTTGACCATGCCTGAAAAAATATCGCACACAGGCCCCAAACCGATATGGGCAAAATAAAAGAAACACTCAAGGAAAATGAAAATAGCCGTGGAAAAATACCAGACTGAAGGAGACACAGATACGTGTCCCGGGTACCTCGAGTCTAAAACCCCCGTCTACGTGAACGCCGATTTTGCATGAGAATTGCGCAAGTTGCCGCCGCATGATGAGTTACCTCGCCCTTGGAATAGTCCGGTTGGCAAGGTTCTTACCAACGACGACCGCCTCCTAGAGGAGCGTTGTTAGCGTTGTCTGTGAAGAAAGTCCGGTCAGCGATGAAGCCACTAGACTTGGGAAAGGGGAAAAAACGTACTACCGCCACCGCCGCCGCGGCCACCACCACGGCCACGGCCCCAGCCGCCGTAGCGACCACCACCACCGCCGCCACCGTAGCGGGTCATCTCAGCGAGACGGGGATCAATCTCTTGCTTAGCCTCTCTGAGGACGTTGACAAGGTCACGAGCCTGCTTGGAGTCTGCAACAAGTTAGCACTTTGGTCAAGTAGTAGTAAAGGGAAGAGAGATGACTGACTGTCAGTGGTGAAGAAGGTAACAGCGGTACCCTTGGCACCAGCACGACCGGTACGACCAATACGATGGATGTAGTCCTCCGAGTTGTTGGGGTAGTCGTAGTTCAGCACGTGAGTAATGTTGCGAACATCTTGGTCAAGGGGTTAGCAGACGCCTCACGGTTTGTATAGCAACGTTCCAGCCAGGAACCACGTTTGTTTGATAAATATATCAGGCTGTTTTTCACTCCGTCGAAGACAGGGCAGTCCATATGCGTCAAATGCCATCCTGGAAAGTTCAATGTACCGGGTCCTCGGGCTTGGGGAATCTTGGGGACGGCTTGAGCGAATCAAGAATTGCCACATCCACGCTTGTACCATAGGCAAATGGGAGGCACAAGGGTGGAACAGCGAGTATAGCGAGCCAACGGCTGCACACCAGACCAAGACTCCACACAGGAGCAGAGAGAACCAGGGAAACACGAATGCATCAGGCAAGAGTGCGCAATCAAGAGAGCCCCTAGACATAAGAGTAAAGTACAGCACAAGGCTGCTGGAAGTTGCCATGTAGGTTGGGGGGGAATGATACTCACCAATACCACGCGACGCGACGTCGGTCGCGACCATGATGGGAGACTTGGCCGTCTTGAATTGGTCAAGGACCCAGTCACGCTCGTTCTGCTGCTTGTCACCGTGGATGGCTACGGAATGTTAGCTGGGGTCGAACAGAGAAACAGCGTGTGGAAACGTACAAAGCGCGGGCCATCCGTCCTGGCGAAGGAAGCGGGTAATCTCGTCAGCGACACGCTTGGTGCCAACGAAGATGAGGACCTTGTTCTCCTTGTTGTCCATCATCTTCTCGAGGTGCTTGAGCATGCGGTCACGCTTCTCGCTCTCGTTGACAACCTCAACGATCTGGGTAATGCGGTGGTTGGCAGCCAAGTCCATGGAACCGATGTTGACCTGGATGAAGTCGGAAAGGAAGTCGGACGCAAGAGCGCGAACCTCCTTGGGCCAGGTGGCGGACCACATGAGAGTCTGACGGTCGGGGCGAATCTGGCCGATAATCTTGCGAATTTGGGGCTCGAAACCCATGTCCAACATGCGATCAGCCTCGTCGAGCACAAGGTAGGTGACGCGACGAAGGTTGGTCTTGCCGGCCTCGAGCATGTCGATGAGACGTCCCGGGGTGGCGATGCAGACCTCGACACCGCGGGAGAGGTCGCGAATCTGGGGTCCCTTGGGGACACCACCGTAGACGCAGGTGTTGCGGATGCGGGAAGACTTGCCGAACTTGGAAATCTCCTGCTGAATCTGGACGGCAAGCTCACGGGTGGGGGCGAGGATCAGGACAATGGGGCCATCGCCGGGGGCCAACAGAGGCTGGGCGTTGATGTGGACAATGGCGGGAAGGCAGTAGGTTAGCGTCTTTCCGGAACCCGTCTCGGCAATACCGACGACATCGCGACCGGAGAGAGCCATGGGCCAACCCTGAGACTGAATGGCAGTAGGGGCGGGGAAGCCCTGGGCCTTGACCTCGTCCATGACATATCTGGGGAAACCAGCCTCGTCGAAGGTCTCAACGGGCTTGGGGACATCGTTGCCAGCAATGGCAATCTGGTGCTTGCGGCGGAAGGACTCGACATCCTCCGGGCTGCGGTTGGCGACCTCCTCGTGCTCCTTGTAGAAAGACTTCTCGAACTTGGGCATTGTGTTGAGATCTGGGTTTGGGTTAGCGAACGCGTTGCTGGTGTTTACTTTTGTATCCAACTCACCCCATTCTTGTGTGCGAAGACCAGCGCCAAGGTTGTTCATGCGGTCACCACCACCGCCGAAACCGCCACCGCCGCCGTAGCCACCACCACCACCACCGTATCCGTTGCTGTCACTGATGATGAGTTAGCAAAATGTTTACGAGAATGAAATCGGAAGCTCAAAAACGTTGAAGCGCGCGTGGGCGTGATTTGAAGACACCGGGCTCCAGATTCGGAACACGCATAGTGTCGACAAGAAGCGTCGCGCCAAGGCAGCCGCCGCCTCACGAACCCGACCCAACGTGTTTGAGAATAGAGTCAAAGAGAGATGCTTACCCGTTGTAACCACCGCCGCCGTAGCCGCCATCGCGACCGCCTCTGTCCTGACGATCACGACCGCCGCCGTAGCCACCGCCGCCGCCGCGACCACCACCGTATCCGCCGCCGTAGGACATATTTGCTAGTTGCAAAGAGCGCGCGAAGTTTTTCTTGTCGTGAATGATTTCGCTTGAGCGATGTCAGATACGGGCAAGAAAGACCGTGGGGAGAGTAGAAGACGCGAAGAGACTCTTTTTCTGGAGCGAACCGAAAAGAGGACTGATGCGTAGAGGGAGGGGATGGAGGTTTGTGAGATGGAGAGGAAGAGAGGGATGCAGATGAAAGAAGGGGAGAAAAAAAGAGTAGGAGGGTCAAAGGTTTTGGGGGAGCGCGAGGGAAGGCGGCCGGGGGTGAATTTTTTTTTTCTTTGCCTGCCAAAACTTTTCGGCGACCGCTACCAGAAGGACCCTGCTAAGGCGAAAAAGGTACGTACTCAATGCACGTGGACCTGTTACGGCCTTTATCGGTCGGAAAAGATGGTGGATCTGACTCGCGATAAGGCACCTCTGCCAAATCTGCACACTGCACACTGCTGCAGCGACAAGGTTCTTGACTCTGGAGTTTTTTCTCTCTCTCATTTTGCTTCGTTACTATGGCACTTTGGTTTGAACCGGGGGTCTCCAGCTTTTCAGATTCTTGCATGCGAATTGCGGAGACCTGGTTTTGAATGATTGGAAATCGTTTGGCCTCGAGTGAGCCTCTCAACACAAACGGTGCAAGGGAACCCTTTGACTGCTGGTGTTTGGCCTCAGTACCAGCAATTGGGACGGCATGTGCACCTGCGGCGGGAAGTCAAGGGAAGGAAGCACGGCAAGCTGTATCAGACGACATGGGAAGCTTCTGTTCAATTCAGCCTGACTGACAATGCTTGGCTTTCTCGCCTGCCTATTCTAATGTCTAGTTACCTAGATTATACTCGAGTTAAGGAAGGTGAGGTAAGGTAGGCGGAGAAAGTTCGTCCATCATCTATGAGGCTGTTTGAGTATCAAGATGGCAGCAATGCAATGGAGGGGACAGGGGCCATCATCCTTGCCTCTGTTTTGCTACACCCGTTTCCAGTTCAAGGCCCTTCCTCCATCCATCGTCTTTTGTTGAAAGGCCCGTTCTACAGAGGGTATGCAAAGCCTTTGTTTATTCGACAAACAGCGATTCTCACCGACAGAATGTCATTGCCAGCTTCCCGGTAAACTTCCTCACCGAAACTCACCGGTAAGGAAACATTTCCCAGAAGCCAATCTCCATCTACAACACAGTTAGCCCAAGCTTCACCCCGCCCAACAAACATCGGAACCAACCTTTGTGCCGTGAATGAAGATCTTGACCAACCGCTCTATACTCGACGGACTCTGCAACGCGGCATGTCTCTCAATCAACTCTGGTCATTTACTCTCGGTCAGCAAAACACCCTAGTCAATCATGTCAACCATGACAGAAAATCATCTCCACAAACCTGAGCCGGTCTTCACCGCCCCAACATAGTCATCGGCAACGTAGTTCTCGATCCACTTCCAGTACGTGTTCTCCTCGCGCTTCGTCTTGACGTCGCCGTGGAGCTGCTTCGCCACGGCGCCGTATCCGAGCAGGCACGGCGCAAGAGCCATTTGCAGCGCGATCCAGTCCTCGCTGACGCCAACGTCGAGGACATAGCGCGTGTATGCCGTGCAGGCTGCGTATGGCCCTTTGTCAGTTTCGTCCTCGTGTCTCTCATAGGATCAGCATTCACGGGATAGACTTGCCTTGATGTTCCTCTGTGGCCTCAATTTCAGGCACAGTGATGCCAAAGCCCTTGCAGTAGTCGATGTGCAGGCTCATCTCACGTGTTATGTGGTTAACGATTGTAGCACCCTAGATGAGTCAATACACAACCCGTCCACCACCTTGGGCAACACCTACGGCTGAGATGTCTGCTATGCTCTTCGCCTTGTAAGAAGCTAGCGCATTGGCTCTGGCGAAATGGACCTATGAAAGAAGATGAGCAACCAAGAATTTCGGCCGGGGACCGTAGCATACATACCAAATATAGGTAATCCTGGATAAGATACTGCTTAAACGACTCCATGGGCAGCGTCCCGTCTCCCATTGCCATGACAAAAGGATGGTACACAAAAGTCTTCCAAACATCCTTCACGTCTGGCCTCTCGAGCATGTATTCGATGAAACGCCCCCTGACGACTCCAGTCAACTCGCTGCCTGTATCAGTGGCTCAGGGCAAACTTACGGTGCAAAAGGCAGCGTCTGGATAGAGTGAAAGTGGTTCAACGGACCATGTCCCTTCCCATACCCAGGGGCGGTCTTGATCCCAGCCTCTATGTACCGACAAGCCGACTTGACAGCTTCCGGCACACCGAGACCCTTTGCCAAGTTAGACGCGATAGCAGCTATCACTTGAATCAGCCTTATCAGCTCAACAGCAAACAAACCTGCAAACTCACAAGCCAAAGAACAGCCAGTCCCATGCGTATTCGTCGAGCTCTGATACGGACTCTTCACATGCCAAAACTCGCCATGTCCATACAACACATCCACAACGACAGCCTTCTCCCCCTCGCTCCGCGCAACAGTGAGGTCCTCTTTAAACGGCGCGTGCCCGCCCTTGACGAGCACCCACTCGGGCCCCAGCGCCTGCACCGACTTAGCCATCGCCTCAAGGTCCTTGACGCTCTCGACCTCGATCGAGTCGTGCCCCGAGTCCTCGAGGATGAGCTTGGCCTCGGGAATGTTGGGCGTGAGGACAGTGGTGAGCTTCAGCAAGCCCTCCAGCAGCTCGGCGACGGCCTCGCGGGGGAGCAGCTCCGCGCCGCTGGTCGCGATCATGACCTATGGCACTTTGTGAGAAAATTCCGGGTTCTATCTGAAGTGAGAGAAGGGTCTCTTTCATACCGGATCCACGACCACCTTGGGAACATTGTGTCTCTTGAGAGCCTGAACAACCGTCTCAATCGTGGCAGGCGAAGCCAGCATGCCTGAGGTCCCGAATTAGTTGCTTAAGCCTATGGGGCCAAGAACAATCGCCAGTCACGCCAAATCTCACCAGTCTTGACAACGTTCACCCCGATATCACCAATACAGGCATCAATCTGCTTGAGCAGAAACTCCTGCGGCACATGGTGGATGTCATGCACACCAGTTGTATCCTGCGCCGTCAGCGCCGTGGTGGCCGTCATGGCGTAACAACCATGCGCCGCGATGACCTTTTGATCCGCCTCGAGGCCCCTTTTAAGCCCACGTCAGCAACATTCCTAGAATGCCTCTCGGCATGCAGTGGCAGCCTGAGAATGTGTGTACTCACGCTCCGCCGGAGCAGTCCGAGCCGGCAATGACGAGAACTCGTCCCTGAACCATGGCGAACGAATGTAGGAACGCAAGAGTGCGCTGGTCAAAGAGGAATGCGGCCGACTTCAGTCCGTGTTGGGGCAAGACAAGTCTTTGATACGTGTGAGTAAGGTTTCAATCCACCGGAGCCTCTTTCCGTGCAAATGGATCGGACATCATCGGAGGACGGGGTTAGGCACGGCTGACGACGGAGGGATCGGTCGCGGGTCGAAGATGTCACTCAAGTGGGGGCGGGGCACCCCTTAGGTTTTGCTCACCTCAGTGAGGTACTCCGTAAAACACTCGACTTGCAAAACTCTTCTTCGTGTTCCCACGCCTTACTATGACCGCGCCTTACTGGTGAGTCACGCATCACGTAAAAGATATAGTCAAGCCTACCTTCTTAGTATGTACAGCCTTCACTCGAGACCCATTACTGGCAAGAAAAGCAAGAGTGAACCTAGTGAAACATGAGAAAACAAGCCACTTTTGATTTAACTATCGTGCCGACACCCTCCCTACACCATTTGGGAATCCATATGCAGATGGCCACCAACTCCATCCTGTCCCTGCTCGCTCTTGAATGTCAATCCGTGGCTTCTCGAGGTCCCTTTGCCGGCCAAAACCTTAGCTGGAGACTATATCCACTCCCCCAAGTCCCGATTTTTAGTACAAGAAAAGCCAACAAGCAAAACGCCTCATCATGATGTCTCTCGAAATCCACCGGTAACCTCCCCTTTCAAATGCCAAGCAGTCCTTGATGATGGGCGGTTGTGTGCAACGGTGAACACAGCCTTACGCTGTCTCTGTCGAGTCAGCTGAGCTGTCTGTGTCAAACGAACTCAAGCTGTCCGATCGTTCCGCCTTCGGCAAGGGCTGAGTCTCCGTCTCCAGCTCCGACGGGTCTGAGATGCTTCTCTGTCTCTCGGTTCGATTTTCGTCACCCGAGGATACGTTTTCCCCATCTTCGTCTCCATCATCGTCTTCAGATCCACTATCGCTGTCTTCGTCAAAGACGATCCTTCGGAGAACGTTTTTGTCAAACATTTCGAGAACCATTCGTCTGATAGGCAGGCGGTAGTGATTGTACTCAAGCATCGTCATTACGCGCTTGAACATTTTGGGGCATCTAAAGCCTGCCACCTTGTGCTGCCTGATCTGCATCAGTTCACCCATTGCCCGCTTGTACAGAACCATGTTGCCGAGGTCGACAACGAGATCCAGGATTCGTTGATTGATGGCCTCCTCGTTAGTGAAGGCCGGCAGCTCCTCCTTCTCCAGAGGCGGACGCGCTTCTGTAGGGGGTGGCGGGGTCAAAAAGGTCTTCTGCGTATCTGGCAACGCAATCTTAGAGGCAATAGCGTGCTTCCAGGGTTTGAATGAGAAGAATTTGGACAGGTTGTTGGGAATGCAGAATCCCATCGACTCTCCTCGTGGTGAAAGGTTTGCATCCCATCCACATTCTGACAGGATCTCAAGACCGTGTGCGGATCGAGAGACTAGTCCCAGAACGAAGAAGGCGGTACCACGAAGACTCATCACCTCGTGTTCTTCAGCAATCTTAACAATGTCCTCAATGACATCGCATGATTCGATAAAGGGTGCACCGAGCTCCATGGATCCCACGTTGCCGACGGCCCACATGGAGGCCTTGACCTTCAGCATGAGCTCGGGATCTTCCGATTGCATGCCGTACTCTTTGATTGTGCTCGCAAATTCAGCAAAGTGTCCCTTGTCGCTCAGTAGCTTGCAGCCCTCTTGAGTGCGTGCAAGCTCGCGATAGAAGTGCGGTGGAATATGATTCTCTGGCTCGGCATCTGCTTGAACGTCGTCCACCATGTTCATGCGGTTCTGGTGCTCTTCTGGATTCTCTAGGAATGCCTTGGCCAAGCTGGTCTCAATCACACCAACATATGAGTCGTTTCGACCGAGGAACCAGTCGTCCATCTCATTGCTGATATAGTCAACGCCGTCGAGGTAGTGGTAGCCAATGGACGAGGACAAAAACCGCAGTAGGAGAGGCGCGCCGATCTCTCCCAAATGGTCCATTGTCGGACGACACTGGACAACATACTCCAGATATGCTTTCTTATTGCATGCCTTCTCGAGAATCTTGACCGCGGTTCGGCAGACCTCTACCTCGGGGTCGTACAGTTGGTCGCACAACTTCTCGATGGCCCACTTCCAGTCGATCTTGCCGTGGGAGGGCTGGGATGCATCGAAAGGTCGGGTGGCGTACTTTCGCAGCGCGTTCGTCGCCGTGATGCGAATCTCCCTCGTCCCAGACGTAAGTGCCTGTTCAATAAGCACTCGCGGATGTCCCGGGATGCTGTAGTCAAAGTTTGAGAGGAGCATTTTGATCAAGTCAGGGCGCTGTTTGTGCCCGAGAATGTGATACATCATGTTGAACATTCTCCAGCGTTGTAGAAGCTCCAAGCCCCTGGGGTCACCACTAAGGACTCCAAGCATGGGGAAGTATCCTGCGCAGAGTGTGCTTTGCAGACGACCAGGCGAGAACATTGGATCCGTGGATGTCAATCCGCTGCTCTGCATTGTTTGTTAGTCTCACGATGAAAGCGCAGATCTTATGTCTTGCTTACCGGATCGCATTGAGCGAGGCACTCGGCTATCTGCCGTAACATCTTATGATCTTGCAGGTACTGGAAGCCCTCATTTGACTGAAGCAGAGTGTGCATCAGCGTACATCCGATCCTGACATACTTTTGAGAATTCTTGTTGCTTGTAACATCCGAAAACCTGTGCTTAAAAGGCCGGTAGAAGCTCATGATCCTGTTCATGAACTTGGAAACTCTGTTGACCTCGTCTAGTCGCTTTCCGTCCTGAAGTGGCCCTTCGATGACTCGCGAAATGACATCCCAGTTCCATTTCAAGTAGTTGGAACTGTTCAGTACATTGGAATCGACCAAAAGCTGACGGATTGCGCCCTCTTGAACCACAATCCCGGCGTTGCTTTTTCGGTGCATGTCTGCAAGGTTATCGCTGGAGGGGAGAGTTCCAGCAGTCGCGATAGATGGCGTGCTCCTGTACAGCGTCTTGCTCACCGAGCTAATCTGATAAACTATGCCCGAGGCAACGAATCTGTTGTCGTCTTTGAACTGAGTTGCCGCAGCGAAGAGTTCCGGAAGTAGAGGTAAGTCATTGCTCCATGTCGCAGGGAGGAGCCTGCTTGCTAGCTTCAGCACCTCACCGATCAAAAGACACGTCTTTCTGGACAACTGAGGGTCGCTGGTCCTGGCAACTTGGAGCAAATTTTCCAGTAGACCGGCCTTGACAAACGTGGCCAGAAGCAGGGCGGTGTAGTGATCCATGAAGTTTTGCTCTCCACTGTCTTCTTCCACAGGCAGAGGATTGGCTGAGGGGGTCTGGTTCGTAACTGATTTGAGGCTTGCTACCCTTCCATATGTCGTCAGGCGGCGACCGGCCAGGAAGGAAGAAGCCCATGAAGGGGACTTGATCCGGAGAAGAAGGTAGACGAGATCGATGACTGTCTCTCGGATGGTTGCCTGTGGAAGCACCATGCTAGTGAGCAATGATTTGATGGCTCGAGAGTCATGCATAGTCAGCATCATCAAACCAGGCCAGCTCTTGAGGATTTTGGTGATTGCCTTGGCGTTCTGCTTGAGTAAACTCTCATTTGCGAGGATGATATCTGTGAATGCCGTGAAGAGAACCTCCAGATCATAACCGGAGCGCAAGTAGATTCTCTTCTGTGGGTTGTCCAAGATCTGCATATAAGACGCCGTGAGTGATTCGGGCGATTTATATGATCCTTCGATCAAAGCCTCAGAAAGCGGTGATAGGCCGCCAGAGGCCACTGCCAGGGCTGGGTCACGAAGCATGACTTCAGCGAGTGTTTCCAGGCAGATGGAGCGTAAACGGTCTTCAGCCTGCTCTGCAACAGCGGCTATAGTCCTCACAACGGCACGTGAAAGCTCTTTGACTCCATCCTTGACATCTAGGAAGGCCCGGACAAACTTCAAGGCCTGTTCACGCTCCAGATCTGCTTTTCGGTCTTTGATTAAAGATCTACTGCTCGTTAGCTACGGTCTTGCCAAAAGTACAAACAAGGCCGGAACTCACGTCACGACAATAATGTCAGTATTCAAACTGCGGATCTTCTTCAACGAAGACACATCTGAGATGGCATAGCGAATCATTCGGTAACCAGCTGCCACCACTTCTCTGGCCTCACTGAGGAGCATGACTTGCATGCGAAGACCGAAGACCGACCATACCAGATCATACTTGAGAGTCGGATGTCGCCTGAACAGGTCAACCAGACTATTTCCTCGACTGACGTAGTATTCTGGCGGCATACCCTCCTGCTCAAGCGCCTGTAGCAACTCAGCCAAGAGGAAAGTTGGTGACTGCTCGGCCGTCTCTTCATTGTCAGAACCAGCACCACTGCGAGAGGCACTGGGAGGTGAGCGCATGCCATTGTTGGCAGAAGAAAACAATGGCTCAGTTGTTCTTTGTCGTGTGGGGGTGGTGGGAGTCGCCTTGAATCTCGAAGCGTCTGTAATCTTCTGCCGTAGGTTCTTGATGCGCTGGTTGGACGCATTCAGCTCTGCTTCGACTTTGGCTCTCTGCTCCTTGGTTTGTTTTGCCTTCTTGGCGTTCAAGGCTTCCAGCATATTCTCACTTCCGTCCTTGATCTTCATCTCTCGATTCAGCTGTTCCCTAAGGGCAGCTAGAGTCTGCTCTGCAGCCGTGGCGGGATCTTCCTCGTCGACCTTATCGATGCTGTAGATGTCGCCTCGGGAGCCAGAGCGAGATGGCATCATCTGGCTGCGCAGCTCAGAACTAAAGCTCCCAGGGGCGATGGAGGGGTTGAGGGAGGAGCCTCGGGGGCCGAAGCTGACGCCCGAGGCGCCCAGACTTCTCGATCCATTGACAGAGGCGGATGGCGGCTGGAGGCCACCAGTGCTCTCTATGCGCTCGAAACTCGGACGGGGATTGAGGGTATTGGCGCTCGATGCCGACTGTTGAGGCGACAGTGCCTTTTGAGACTGTCCGGAGGCGCTCAGCATCTTGGCGATGCCTCTCTATGTTACCACCTTTCTGCGGGGCTTCTCCGGAGGTTCTTGCATTCGGGCGACTGTTATTTCAATCCTGCCTCGTTGATAGAAGGTTGTTATCGGGGTATCAGGGGTTTTGGTGGTCGTGGTCGGGGTTCGTCCGCGTGGAGTCAGGGACTGTCGCCGATCGCTTGAGGCTCTATCGCGGTAGGTGGGTAGGGAGTTCCGAATCGAGGTTCAGACAATTTTTTGAAATGCAGGCGGTCGAGATACGGCGAGAGAGGTCCGGAGGAGCAGGTGTTGATCAGGCGAACGTTCGAATCGCAGGCTGTTGGGCGCAGATGGGCGAAGTTGGTCGGCCACCCGCAGAGCCACGCCAAGAGGAGGGCAGGACGTCAGTCCGAGTGGAGATGCGATGGGAGTTTAATGCTGAGTACATGCGATTTACGCATCAGAAAGGATTGGTAGTAGGGATGATTCGGAGATTCCAACCGTGGCAGATGTTCTCGAGGATGGTGTCGCTTGAGGTCGGTCGAAATAAAACTGCGCACTTGGGTTATTCGTGATCGATGATGAGTCCTGGCGGAAACAATCGCCGTTGTCGTTGTCTCGATTGTTGCGTGGTGCTGCGGCGTTCCAGCCGAGTGCTCGTTCACGGCCCACAGTTGACGGTAAAGTAAGGTACTCGGTCGCCGGATACCAACCTGAGCCTGGATCCTCACAGCTTCAGTAGTGGATCTGGATGCGCATGGGTTGCTGCTGCGGGCTTGGTGGTTCAGCGGCGTTCAGAAGTCGAGTGCGGTCGCGCGCAGCCTGCAGTGACGGGAAGATGTGTGGTTGCTGCCAATGTCACCCGTAGACCGCAAAAGGCACTGATACTGGTGTCTGAGGTGGGTGGTGTTCAGGGGTGGTTTTCCAAGGTGGTGCAGTGTCCACGGCCACGGCTGCCGCGAAGTTGCGAGGTTCTGTTCAAGCTGTTCAGAGCAACTTAGACTCCAAGGACAGAGTGGGCAGCGTCTGCGTCAGTACACTTCCGAAATTTTTTTACCTGCCCCGACGTAACAGGTAATGGAAGGTAAAGAGAGGTGAGGTAAAGAAGCTCAAGGTAAGGCACAGCTCAGAGCGTGAGGAATAAGGTACCTTAGGCAGACAGTACAGTCAGTAGGTAGTAGGCTGGAGTTGTTGAAAGTACTTTCCAGGTAAGGTATGTACGGATTTGGCAGCACCCAGTCCATTGTTCGGGTTCAGATTTGGAGTCGGACCTCGTCCATGCACGCACTCAGCCAAGTCCACCTTTTTACCTTATTCATTCAGCCATTCTGAATAACGATCAATGCGGTTGTTAATTACCTTCAGATCACGTGTGCTAGACAGCTTCTGCCTGTCTATTAAATCTGCAAGTATGTGCCTTACCTCCTACATGCGAATCTGGGAGGTGCCCGTGGGTATGGAAGTTCGCTCTTTCTCCTTCTTCTGCTGAGGTGAGCTGCTGGGCTGCTGGGCTGCTGCATGCGCCGTAACCTGGAAGGAAGCAACCTCAGCAGCCCCGCTTCCTGATCGCTTCGTCCCCCTCACCGAAAGCTTGGACCATGTATTTCCCCCCTTTGGTGACAATAGAAGATGTCGAGTACGGGTACTTCCCCAGACAGGGCACCACGCCTCGTCGTGCTTGGCTCAGAAGGTAGGAGGACTGCGTAAGAGACCAATGGGAACGCTGCCGTAAGCTGCAGCTGCCTCTATTTCTAGCTACCTTCTAGCGTCACGTCTGCTGAAGGGGTACATTGACCTGGATAACACAGGTAAGTTGTCGATAAGCCCCAGATAATGGAAGGTACGAAACCTTGACCCATTATCTGTACGGATACAGGTGCGTCTCTTGGCACCACTCAGTCCAACTTTGACGATCAACGACCAGCGACCAACGAGAACTTACAAGAATGGTCGCCTTATCTTGGTCACGATAGCTCGGGCAACTCTAGAACTCCCGTCAAACTGTTCCCCGCCATGATATACTACGTATGTAACTTCAGCCGTAGACTTTCCTAGAGTCAAGTAGCTGTCGATAATCATTTCCATCCAAGAACCAGCTTCTGTTCGGGTGAACCTGGGTAGACCAAGTCGACCTCGGGCGAGCCCATCTCCGTACCTGATGCGTATTGCATAGAGAGAAAGAGGTGCCCATGAACACTCATCATGGACCATCCTACTCACGGTCCCGAGGAAATCCCTTGCCGTCTGAAGCTGCTTGTGCCACAGCATCAACTGCCACTACCAATGCTGAAACGTGGCCGGCTCCCCCATCCGCAGTCATTCGATGCCTCGGGGACATCCACCTCTATCCGTGTCAGACAGACTCGTCAGTACTCGTGGCGGAGATAGGAATCAACCTCCCGGGTCGAGAAATATCGACGAACAAAGACTCCCATCACCCTCACAACAAACATAATGGACAGAAATGATTCTGTCAGAATCAGTCACCACTACAGGATTTGCATCTTCGGCCTTTCGGTCTAATATCCACAGTCCCGAAATGGCGGGGCCCCCGGTTCCTTCGCGCGCCCGTCCTTGGCCAAACCTCACCTCACCTCATCTCACTTCACCTCGACCTCACATCAGGCCGGAGAGCGGCGGCACAGCGGCGGGCTTTGCAAAAGAGACGGCTGGCATGATGTGTGGGTATCTTGGTGTTCCCATGTTGGTAGTGAAGCATTCATGTACATGTTCCCATGGTATGAAATGTCTACCCTTGCGCGGAGCCGGCCACTAGAGGTCCAACAGGTACATCACGAACGTCTGCGGCTCTGTAAGATCCTTTGATTTCGTCGAGTCTTCATTGGTTCCATAGATGCGGACCCTGGAAAAGAAGTGCAAAATCAACTACCGCCCACGGTAGCTAGTTACGGCACAACTTGCCGCCTCTCGTCCATTTTTTCCTTCAAAGCCCTAGAGGCTAGAGGCGTTTGCCTCATGGAGCTGAGGTACCAAACACGGCCCAGAGCGTTTCTCGTCGGTCCCGCCCTGGCGCAGAGAGCCGTAGGGAGACAGCGGCTGCATGCGGCGCCTTGCCTGCCCAGCGTCCAAAGGGCATCGGCGGGCTCCGGGGGCTCCACCCGACACCAATAAGACCATTCTACCCCACGGCTGCCGGGCCCTATCAAGCGATCGGGTCAGTTCGGCCAGGCCATTGGGCCGCTCCCTGGTGGCCCTTCCCACCTGGCATCCCCCGACCCGCGGGGCCACCCTTACACAGTACGTACATCCCAGCAGCTAAGCAGAGACTTGCAGAGGGCAAACATTGCGTGCCGATTCAAGACGCGACTACGCTATCTATCTGTGCTGGTTGCTGATGTATCTCCGGCCCGGCTCTTGTCAGTGGTGGGTGACGTCCAACGAAGCTAATCTGAGAGTGAGAACCTCAACCATTTCCTTCTCTTGCATCTTGATATAAAACCTATCGCCGCCCCTCTGACCTCTTCTCTTGTGACCTTGCTCTTGTCCTCTGTCTCATCATCACCAACCAACAACCACGTCCTTATCGGTGCTTTGTCTTGAAGTCTATCCGTATCTTGAGCTTGAACCCCTTGGCAACTTGCTCTCATCCTCGCTCCTCATATCACCATAACATCTCATCTCATCTTGTCTATACGATACCATCAATCTCATCCGTGATACCCCAGACCCCTACGTTTTGTTCACTTTCCTCCTTCTCAAACCTCACAAACCCACACACACACACACACACGCAACTTCACAATGGCCGCCTACCTCGCATCCGCCCGCTACGGCAAGGACAACGTCCGCGTCTACAAGGTCGAGAAGAACGGCAACACCCAGACCGTCACCGAGATGACCGTCTGCTGCCTCCTCGAGGGCGAGATCGAGACCTCGTACACAGTCGCCGACAACAGCGTCGTCGTCGCCACCGACTCCATCAAGAACACCACCTACATCAAGGCCAAGGAGAACCCCGTCAACCCCCCGGAGCTCTTCGCCTCCATCCTCGGCGCCCACTTCCTCGAGACCTACGCCCACATCCACACGGCCAACGTCAAGATCGTCCAGCACCGCTGGACACGCATGACCATCGACGGCAAGCCTCACCCGCACTCCTTCTTCCGCGATGGCGAGGAGACCCGCAACGTCGAGGCCCGCATCTCCCGCAAGGACGGCATCGCCCTCACCAGCGCCATCCAGAAGCTCACCGTCCTCAAGTCCACCGGCTCCGCCTTCCACGGCTTCGTCCGCGACGAATACACCACCCTCCCCGAGACCTGGGACCGCATCCTCTCCACCGACGTTGACGCCGCCTGGACCTGGAAGTTTCCCGACCTGGCCGCCGTCCGCGCCGCCGTGCCCAAGTTCGACCCCGCGTGGCGCGCCGCCCGCGACATCACCATGAAGACGTTCGCCGAGGACGAGAGCGCCAGCGTGCAAAATACAATGTACAAGATGTGCGAGCAGATCCTCGACGCCGTGCCCGAGACCCTCACCGCCTCCTACTCGTTGCCCAACAAGCACTACTTTGAGATTGACCTCAGCTGGCACAAGGGGCTCAAGAACACGGGCAAGGACGCCGAGGTCTACGCGCCGCAGTCTGGTCCCAACGGTCTTATCAAGTGCGAGGTCGCGCGCAAGCTCGAGACTGCCAAGTTGTAGACGCATGGTTGTCTGAGGGAGCGGGTGAGTGAGATAGGGGTGTAGAGTGAGGATGAGAGAAGAGGCTTTCCTGTCAGAATCCATCGAGATTCGCCACTTGCATTTACCGGCGTCCATGACCTGGTCAAGCCTGGCCGGGTGATTTTTATAGTAATAATGAGCAATGACTAAGAATATGACAAACCATCTGGAATGTTCGTCTCCTTGCGGATTTGCTGTGATTTGATTGATGAGCTCACTCAATATATGAACGTTCCAAAACTGGAGCAAGCCGAGTTTCCATGGAGTCAGTCGTGATGCTACAAATTGAGGTTTCCAGAGAGGGCAAAATGCTTCTTGGTTGTTTTTTCCCCTGCGATTTATGATGTAAAAAATGAATACACCCGAATTGCCATAATATTCCTAAGCTTAAAGTGTAACAGACATTATGACAAGCGACCATCCTCTCATAATTTGGATTGGACAACAGTATTAGACGAAGGATCTTGTTACGACGTTCCTCATGTAGTATGAATTGTGCTTATTGATTCGCGGCAAGTTCAAGGTACTCAACAGAAGAGAATAATTCATTTGAAGTGCATGTATATTCTAGAAGCATCAGCAAGCGGCAGTACTCGTGGCTTTTCGACAGGGGGCAGAATTCAAAGATGAAAAATATTCATACAAACCAGCCTCTGAGATCACTCAGCAATAGGAGGAATAGTAGGAAGCTAAAAGATCAAGTCCTCACATAGTTGACATTATCACCCGTGACGGAGCATGCCCAGTCTACACACTTAACGCCAGATTCTCTCATGTCACACTCAATCTCCCCTTCTTCTGTTGATTCCTGCCCTTCTCTTTTTCCTCGCCTGTACTAAAGATTCATAAGGTACCAATGCTCAGGTAGTAACATTCTCGGTATCTCTCTCAACGGGCGCGCTTGAGAGCCTGGAAAGACTCTAGTGGATTGCCCAACCGCATGTCGGGCAGCCAAGGCTCCTCATCCCACGACCGAATCATATCAACGACAACCAAGATCCAACACTCGATAGAAAACGCCGCCACATTGCAGAGAGCCATTGGACTTTATAGTTTTTGAGAATGCCCGTATTCGTACAGAATATACACGCCGACTCAAGACGGCTATACTACAACGTCTCGCTCATCTTCCACCCTCCCTACCGCTTTTCAACCTCCCTCCACAGCCACTGTTCCGTAATGAGAGAGCCATCAACAGCGCCCCCCTGCTCATATCCTCTGCGAATCCGCCTCCCGAATCGCCTTAACCTGCTCCTCCCAGCCCGTCTTCCCAACAGCAACATCTCCAAACCGGATAACATTCTGCTTATACGGATGCGCCTCCCCCTCGAAAGCCTTCAACCGCGCAAGCCTCTTCTCCCTGAGCCTATTCTTGGGCAACATCCCGCTCACCGCCTTCCGCAGCACCTCGGCACCGCCGTGCTTCTCCATCAACACGTCCATCGTCACCTGCCGCAGGGATCCCGGGCGCGTGTTGTGCCGGTAGTACGTCTTTTGCCACTTCTTGCGTCCCGTCACATGCAGCGCCGCGCAGTCCGTCACGACGACGTAGTCGCCGCAGTCCGTCGACGGGTCCCAGGTCGGCTTGTGCTTGCCCATCAGGATCACGGCGATGCGGCTCGCCAGGCGGCCCAGCGAGGGCGGGGTGACGCCCGGTTGGGTTGAGAGGACTTCGTGGGGCGCCGAGGCGGAGATTTGGTGCCATACGCGGGAGTAGGAGAGGCGCGTCTGGAAGAGTTGTATTTTGTGGTTAGTTGAAAGGGTTTTCCGATTCAAATTGCTTCTTGGGAGGGAAAGAGGTGTAACTCGATTGTGGGAGGCTGAAAAGGGGGAGAGCTTACCAGGCCAATGGTTTGCGACATCTTGAAATGTGTTTTCTTGGGCCGGCCGCCTCAGCCGACGTTCAGTCTCGTTGTGGTTTTTTTTCTTCGCGGACCGGTTGGGTCAATCGGACGGCTCTGGCAGCGGGTAAGCCAGCGACAATGTCGTCGTCGGATCTCGGAAGAAGGAATGTCGTCGTTTCGCGTTCTGGGCGTCGTTGGCGATCTCCTCGATAGGTAGGCTGACCTGAGCTTCTCCCAAAAATTTGGAGCCAGGAGCGTCCTCACGTGATGATAATGATAAGCCGTCCCCAGCTCTCGGTGGTGACATCTAGAGACCAAGTGGTGCCAGCTGGTGAGTCCCGTACACCTCAGCTGCAGAGACCGAGCGCCGACTTTGGGCCGATGCTCTTCAACATCAAATGGCCCGAGCGTTCTCATGGCGGGGCAGAAGATGGCAGAAAGCAATGAGGCGATGCGATCCAATTGCGCCGTGCTCGCTGTCCGCTGGCCGCGAGTGGGAGGAGGAGGGGCAGTACGATTTCAAAGCAAAAGCCCAGATATTCACTTCCCGACGACGACTCACTCCACGATGGGCCACGAATATTAAACCTGCATGTGCCGAATCACCCCATTGGATCGACTGCAAGCAACACTACAATTTCCTACAAGCAATAACCTCGAATTCCGGGATTTTGTGAAAGAGAGGAGTCTTCAGAGTCAAACCCGCAACAAGCAACATTTCCTCAGGCCTTTCTTCCCGAGAACGACAACTCCTCCTCTTATTTTATTTTAGGAAACGGGAAACTATACTACGCAACTCCTTCATCTCAACAACGCAAACACACGAAAAAGGGGTCCAAACAAGGACAGAGCATGCTCTATTGCCTCCCCGACTTCATCCACAACTACCGTTCTCTACTACGAAGCCCGCTGCAGCCAAGCAGACGACCCTTCACCATGACCGTCTCATATCCTTTTCAGGTGAGTACAACACAGTTTCTCTCTTTTTTCAAATGCCGTTCTTTGTCTCCCGTTTGGCCTTCTCTTCCCGCTCGTCCGCTTCGGCTTCGCGCAAGCAAGTCCAGTCAGGAAGTCAGTCCACTTCCCCCAAAAGTCTCCGTCACGGACACGGGACCTGACCGAGAGAAGGACTTCTTGCTCCTCCATGCTCTCTCGCTCGCTCGCTCCGTCGTCGGTACGGCACCGTCCCGTCAGGACTGACGCAATCCGGCGTGGGGGAGACCTGCGTATGAAGGAGCCTACCTCAGGAAGAGGATCCCTCTCTCGTCCGCACACACAAACACACGGCCTCAGCACTTTGCCCAGCTACTACCATTGCCCTACAGTTCAAGTTGTACAAAATCCTACAAGACACCAGACTTGGGTGGTGGTGTTCACTGCTCCAACTGAATCAAATGTGCTAATGAAACGTCTGAAATTCCAACACTAGACCGTTTTCGCCGTACCCATGACATGTGACAGCTGCGTCAAGGACGTTTCAGACTCGTTGTACAAGCTGGGGGGCATCACCAAGGTCGAGGCCAATCTCGAGGACCAATTGCTTTCCGTCGAGGGCACAGGTACGTCGTCTTCTGCCGCAAACTCTGAAAGCTTTTTTCTTCCTCCTTCTCTTCTTTCCCTTTCCCTTTTTCCAAGTATCCCTCTTTCGGCTCATGGCTTGTTGATCCCTTTCGTCAATCAAGCTCCCAATCCCTCCACACCCCCTCGTCTGTCTTACACCCCATTCGGGTTTGTCCCACACGATGCTTTGAGGCTTCTCAAGCTTGCCGTTTTGACGGCGCCATCTTGTTGATCCTCTGAGGATGTCACCCATTGTGTTCGCTACCTTGCCGTCAACCTGTCACGGGGAATGATGGACAGACTTTAAGATTGAACGCCTTACCGTTTGAAAAAGAAAAAATGTACCTGCCGCTAACTCTCTTGGCGACGTTTTGCAGCCGCACCATCAACAATTGTTGACGCCATCCAAGCGACGGGGAGGGACGCCATCCTGCGAGGCTCGGGAGGATCAAACAGTAGGTCAACTGAAGCCTCTTCTTTCCCCTCTTGGCTTTTCGTCCAAGTCCAACTTATTTGTCCGCATTTCCTGTAACCCCTTGGCGGACATTAAGTTGTTTCCTGATACCACCCAACTCGTCTTGTCACACCGGCACTGCTGTCGGCAGATGGGGAGTTTTGGGTTGTTGTCGTCGTCGTTTAAACTCGCTCACATGGTAACACCGGACTTCATCTGACCGCTGACTCATCCACGTCCTTAGGTGCGGCTGTTAGCATCCTAGAGTCTTTTTACCATGCAGATGATGCGCCTTCAAAGTTGAATGAGCAGCGAGACCGAGAGGTCAGGGGCCTAGCTAGAATGGTGCAGGTCTCCCCGACTACAACTCTGATCGACATGACGCTACGCGGCGTTGCCCCCGGCTCATACCGAGCTACAATCCGTGAGTACGGTAACCTGGCGGAGGGCGCATCATCGACGGGTCCTGTCTGGTCGGAAGGCAGTGAAGACGCTACTGCCAAGGGGTTCTTGGGCGTCTTCAACGTCGGCAAGGATGGCAGAGGCAGCGCCTATCTCGACAAACCTTTTCAAATCTGGGAAGTCATTGGCCATGCCATGGTCGTCTCGAGACAAGATGAGTCTGCAGGGGCGTTGAAAAATGACCCAGACACGTTAGTCGGCGTGATTGCCAGGAGTGCCGGCGTGTGGGACAATGATAAGACGGTCTGTTCATGCACCGGCAAGACGCTTTGGGAAGAGAGAAAGGACGAGGTCGAGAAGGGTATGCTGTAGACTTTGCGGAAACCCATCAGATGATGTATAAGAATGATCATGAAATAGCGAGATATTTTCAAAAAAGTGTTTCTTGCTAGGAAGCTCGGCTGATGAGCCGGATAGGCTTTATGGTGATCACCAGAAGCCACACGTGGAGTGGCAGCCACCATAAACATTATCGTACGATTTTTGCGATGAACGTAGATTTTGGACTGCGTCTGCTACCTCAGGTCAAGGTCGGTGGCCACGGCTTCCAGAACACTGACAGGCAAGATGCCAGGGGGTGCCGTGCTTTGTGGTGTGAGGAGTCCGAAGAACCGCACCATAGTCGGGTTTGACACTGAGGCTGAGCCTCTCCAATGCCTTGGCATACTGCCCGCCCCAAGGATGAAGTTCAAGGACTCTCGGCTAGGTAGACAGATTCGTGGACCTGGAGTTGCAACTTGGGTGACGGGGCACTTAGACTCTGGGGTCTCGGTAAGGTTGCGGGTTTCCATCCGTTGTCACAGGCCCGAATATGTTAACCTCTGTACGCCAAGCTTTCCAAGGCTTGTCTCGGTCAGAATTTTCCGCCGAGTTCTTGATCGTCTCCAGGCGATGGGACAGATGGGACAGCGGGGCCAGCAGAAGAGATGGAGCATCTGTTCCCAAGGAACGGAGAGGCCTGCGCCAGAGGAGACCAACAGACATGGCTTCAGCGTCGGGCTTGATGCAGATCATGTTAGAAGAAACACTGACGACGGTTCCGGGAGATTCCCCCCACCGATCGAAGACCGGAAGGAGGCGGAGCGCGGGTGACAGGTGGTAGATGAGACGAATACGTGTTGTAGTTGAACAGGGACCAGAGGCGCTACCTTATTTTGCTGGATCGCAGGGGCGCCGGGACCGCCTTGCCGTGATAAGGGCCCACTATCCGTAGTAAGGGCGTGTACGCAGATGGCATTACACAAGGAGGCTGATGCTGCAGTGCCAATGGGAACTTGGCAGTGGCCGACATATACGTGCAAAGGGGTCGATGGGTGGAGAGGATGGCCGAGCTTGAAACTAGCTTAGGTAGGTTGTCGGCAAGCTTGAATTCGGATGCGAGAAGTGATGGTCTGTACGTACTCCATACAGATCGAGTAAGGCAACGCCAAGGATTTGGGGCAGTGTCGGTAGGGGGATTGAAGCGTTCGTTGACGACATATCTAGGCTGATATTGACGGAAGGTTAAGTCAGTATGGCTCCTTGAGTGCCACAAAGAAGCCATTGCGCCAAAGTGTATCGACGAATATGATGTAAACGTGTTTGATGAGGAGGCTGATTCAAGAAACAAGAGTTGAGGGACAATTGAGTCGAGACTCTGGGGCAACGCTTGGTGGTGAACATGATAAGTGCCTGCCGGAGCTCTCTGGAAAGATTTGCATTGCGGGCTTCGGACCGTGGAGGTTCGCATTGAACGACGAGGACAGCGTAGATCTTGCCGCGTCACGGGTGGATTCATCCGTTCAAAGGGATGCCCAGACTTGTGACACTTGGGGAGAGAGGGAAAGATAGGGGAGTGGAGGGTAGACAGACGAGCAAGTAGCAACTCGGAGCGGAGCGTTGTGGGTGCCGCTGTCTGCGATGGCGCGGTCCCGTCTGTGTGTTGAGTGCATCGTGTCGAGTCACCTTGGCTTGCGTTAGGGCCACGATAGGATGTGGTCGAGGCGGTTGTTGCGCATCGAGGCAGTAGACAGGATACTGGGTAGACCACCAGAGGAGAGACGCAAGGGCTGCGGCTCGATGACTGAGGCGACGCCTCAAACTCGGCCGGATGCTGCGTGGTAAAACAAGGTGAAGTTCGTAGGCTTGACGTCTAGTTCATGCGGCGAAGTGGCTGGTGGTCTGGGCAGAGTCGCAAGTCGTTCCACACCCAAAAGAATGTGGAGAGTGACATTGCCCTAGCTGCGCAAACGTTACAGCGGAAGCTGCCTCTACTCAGATCAAGGTACCTTGGCAGGTGTGTGTTGATCCTTCGAGTAGGAATACTTGCCTAGTATCCGTACGAAGTACACTACCATTTCCTCGTAAGGAAGTCAGGCACGTCACGATAGTGTAAGGTAGGGTAATAAGGTAGGTAATGTACGGATAGAGAAGAGGAAGACTGTGCCCCCTGCACATGAGGTAGACGGGACGTCAGTGGGGGCGCCTGCACGGGACTTCCAAAACAGCCTGAAGGACAAGCGAGTTTCGCAGACTCTTGAGACTTGGGACTGGCAGGGATAATTAGAGTTGGAGATGGTCTGGCTGGGTGTCACGGTGTCTATCCGTACCTTACGGGTAATGTCTAATAACGATAGGGCGATGCGTTTCTGGGGGGGGGGGGTTCCTTGGAAAGGGTCTTTTCGGCTTCGGTCTTTGGGTTGTAACTTGTCATGAGAAGGGATCCTCTTGTCACTGGCAATGCAAGTCATTCTCGCGAGGCGGCATTTTGTTCTTTTTTCGTTCTTTTTGGAAGAAGCTGCGTGGGCCCTGGCTCGTGCTTGCTATCTTCCGTTGCTTGTACGGAGGAAGTCGTATTTGTCCGGCGTGCCTGCTGTCTTACATCATCTCTAGTCTCAGTACGGGAGTTGGAAGGAGAGACACAATCTGGACTCGATTGTACCTTACCTAACGTCGATCATTCCTTCCCCAGAACAGCCACGGCAAGATCACGTTCCCCCTTGGCAAGATACGTACTTGGACAATGTGCCTCTTCTTGACGGGCGGGAGGAAGGAACGCCTGGCATGGATGTTGGGTTGAGATGGCAGTGGCTTCCGACGAGACACTGGCGAGGCAGGTACGCTGTTTTGTTAGTCAAACGTCAACGACGTGTGGCTGAGCTTGTTGAGCCATAAAGTATCGGATGCCTAGACTCTAAGGTAGAGAGGCTGACGGCTAAAGCCAAGTCTCCTTGACGCATCCTGATCCTTGCTGAGTGGCCTCACGATGCCCCGACTGTTATCCTTCTCCCTCCCTGCTAATCCGACAAATCTTACTGTGTCAACTATTGCGAATTTAACCTAGGCTAAGCATCGACTCTGGACAGCTGCACAGACACCGCTGCCGACATCGACGCCAGTGCCTCCTCGCCAGTCAGCGACGGTCCTACAGATGCCTAGAACCACTTATGGACCCTCTGCAGATAAGGTTGTCCAAATCCTAACCAAGACTGGATGAGATGAGCGATGCCCCGGACAAAACACCACAAAGGGGAATAGCGAAGAAGCTGGAGATGAACCTATTCCCTGCCTTGGCGGCCTCTTCTTCTCCTTCGAACCCGACCCCGCCATCCGGGCAATCTACAGACAAGAGGCTTCGCACAACTCGTCACACCACGATGGCCTCATGATATGCCAGAATCAACCGAGTGGTACATCACACCCCGTTTTGTGCAGATTCCAGTGCTGTGGGATGCGACTCCCCATGCAGGAACATCATCCAAAACTGGTACGAATACAGCATGGACTGCCGAAACTAGGCGTCTGCGCCGCAGTCTCACAGATGTCTTGACTTGGGCTGAGGGGCCTCTAGATTCTGTACCACCAACCCTCGGTTTCCGTTGCCGATCCTCGTCGACCAAAGACAGCCCACCATCTCCAGAGTCCAAGGTATTGTGATACCACAACAACCGCCTAGTGCTCAGATATATGACTTACACGCCTCCTTCGCTGCGGCGCCTTGATTCGATCTGAGCTGATCAATTTGACGAACGCCAATCTGATCGAGCTGGGTTTTGGTGGTTGAATGATGAAGCATACCATTTATCGAACGGAGAAACTTTGGTTGGAAACGTCCGGACGGGTCGGCCTGTCCAACTGGCGACATGTCACCCGCACCGAGGCGGCCAACGTTGCCAGTTCACCGGGACAACCCAATCAGAAAAATATCGCCGGCGCTTAACTTCTCCCATATGCACTCTGCAAAGAACGGCACTTTCGGAAGATGCTATTTTAGACAGCTCAACGTCATTTATTCCCCAGCTCCAGAGAACTGGTTTGGCAGACCATTTCCAGTATGGCGGCCTGCAAGCACTTACACCTCATCCACTTCTCAACCTCTTATCTGGGTTCGCAAAAGCAACTAAGAAGAAAACCCCCGGTGACTGAACGAGATCGGACGGCCCTGCAGTTGCAGTCGCCTCTGCAGCATCTCCATATTCAGCCACGAGGCGTGATACAGCTGCGAGCTGCGGGTTGCAGTCACGGTTCACTACGCAGTAGTACGATGAGCACGACTTACAGTTACCACTGTGAGTGTGTGATCAAGGCGGCGTTAGTCACTCTTCTACGCGCCCTTGGCCCCTGGCAAGTTGGTGGCTCAAAGGTCCGGCCCACGACCCGTATTCCTGGGGGCCAATCAGGCACATCTCGCATTCGCTGGAACGCTTCGTGCATGGGAAGCGACAGGCCCTGATTCGCAGTGGTTGCACGATGCCTGCGACACCCGGCATTAGTGCATTGCCGTTAAGGGACCGTTGCGTCTTGCCCAGCTGGCATGCACACAGCGGGACAGGACTGAGGGCACTGAGAGAAGAGTCAATCGTCGTCAGCGTCCCTCCCTGGAGGATCAGGAGAACCAGACAGTCCAAAACAGCCACTCCCTTGTCAACTCTACCGCCAGATACGCAGTATGCGTGCGATCTGACCCGCGACGCCATGACATAGACTCCGACTTCCTCCTGGCCCATCACTCACTGCCCAGGCGCTCTCTTACACCCCCCCCGGAACGGACGTCGGATGGGATGCCCAGACAAACCAGGGGTGGCTCCTCCAAAGGCGAGGCACAGAGGGCCCGAGGGGATCCCAACGTTCGATGTCCAGCATATTCACAACCCAGCATCTGGCGACGAGATATGCAAAGTGGTTCGATTTCGAGAGAAAACACTTGATTCTGTCACTCAATTTAGACAAGTTTGTTTCCTCCCGTCGAACGGAATACCTTGTCGAATATCCAAAGAAGGATCTGCGTAGCTGCTTAAAGTGTTCTGGGACGACGTCTTGGGGAAAGTCGACAGACGGGAGATGATCTCTCTGGCGCCGAGCTATCTCACAAGTCACAACTGTGTGCTCTGTACGAAGTGTGCCTCTGGAGGGCTGTACTGCACTCACTTCGAACACAAGTACCCGTACACGTTTTGTCACCGAGGCAGATCCTGTAATGGCCAAGATCGGTTGCACAATTCGTCTCTGTCCCAAACCCAGGCTGGGCGTGCAAAAGGCGACCCAGAGACACCGGAATTCTGTTGCAACAAGATACACGCCCCCTTCATCCACCGAGCTGCCCAAGCCACTTGTTCCGGGCTCTCTGCTCTCTACACCCCCCTTCCAGTGTCGACACTCGACAGCAAGAACAACCCCCTTGGATCCCCCTGCGACTCACAACTGGACGAGCACCGGAGCACAGGCATCCTAAGCGTTTCCTGGCTGAGAATCGAGTTGGAATATCAATCACTGATGAGCACCTTGCATGATATACACCCAGTCTCGCGGCCCACAACCCGACCAGTCAAGTCCCCCTTGGTCCCTCGCTGCAAGCACCGACTCGACTCTATTTTCTCTACCCTCCTTTCCGTAGGCGCTGGCTTTTCGTCCTCCATCCATTCATTCCCATTCCTTTCCTTTCCTCAAGCCCGGCTGCAAGTCTGGTCATTCCATCACTTTTATTCTTGTCCACATCACACTTGCTTCCCACATCTGTTCCCAAAGTTGGAACTTGCGAAGCGAAGACAAACCGACCTCGAGACTGTCCTTTCTGACCCGCAACTCACACGCAAGCTTCCCACAGTCGAACGACCGTCCGAGGTTCCGACTCTAATTAACGCACGATTTTAATCCGAGAGAGGACCCGCGCCGAACGACGCAGACTTAGGCAGTCTTGGTATCTGGTCACCTCTGGTCACCTCTCCCTCGGCAAACACGCACACGCACACAGTCACAGTCTTCGTCGTCACAAGCAGGGCAGATAAGAAAAGAGCACGGATTCTTGGACTTGTTCTTGAAATAGTAGGACTGAAAAGGAAAAGAGCCCAGACTTTGATAATACAGGACGGACTGGCTTCGGACACCCCTTTTGGCGCCTAGTCCGACTTACATACATATTACTGCGGCCTTGTCCATCCACCCACCACCTCCACAGGAACCAGGACACACAGCCAAAAAGGGCCATCCCATCCTCCCCCCGACAACTTAATCCGTCTTTCGACGCACAACGTACACAAACCCGAAACACCGTCCTACTTTTGGCATCTGCTTCTGCTGGCCAGGAACGAGAAAAGAGCAACTTTATCAAGTTACAACGTCGAGTTTATCCTACAGTTGGATAAACCCTCTTTTTCGCTTCTGTCTCCTCCCCGCCATCGCATCGGCGGTTCTTGCAGAAGCTTTCGGCAAATCGCCAGACGGGGCCAGGTATCGATCCCTGGTGTACCCGCCACGCGCCAAGATCTCCAGCTCGTCGCCCAAGTCCGAAGCGTACCCCATTTGCGGCTTCTGGCTCATTGGAAGCGGGGGTAACACTCCAACCGTCATTTCAGTGGCGCCGAGCACCGCACGGTCGACAGACCGCCAGCCATCTCCCTAAATAAGCCCTGGGGACCCTCCCTAGCCGCCCGCGGCGCACTTTGTTATTGCTGTTCAGGTTTGGGTCGCTTTTTTTTTTGGCTTTCTTTCCTGCAGCAGTCGTCGTAGTCGTCTTCTGCCGCCGTTGTCCACGTCCGCATCGCAGTTCCCCACGATACCCTTTTCTCCCTCGAATCTTGTCCGTCAACGATCCTTCGACCGCAGCAGCAATCGTCTGCTTGCGCAATTTCTCGACGCGCGATCTGGATTTGGTATTTTGATAACTCTGGCCCGGCGACAACATGTCATTGAAACAGGTACGTGCTCTGTGTCGGACAGCGATCAGCAGTCGCCCAACCTGCGAGACCCGACAGCCCGAAATGGGTAGATTCATGAACATGTCACTGACCACAACTGTCTCTTACTATAGGAAATAGAAACGTGGGTGTCGGCCCTTGGCCGATACGACAACAATGAATTCGATGAGGCCCTCAAGGACTTTGAGAGGATCTCCGACACATCAAAAATTCTCTTCAACATGGGTGTCATTCACGCCACTCTGGGAGAGCACGAGAAAGCTGTGCGTCGTCTCCGAACCTAACACCGAGGTCTTGGCACTAACGTGCAGAAAACAGGTCGAATGTTACCAACGAGCAATCAAGCTGGACCAGTACCTCGCTGTCGCCTATTTCCAGCAGGGCGTCTCAAATTTCCTGCTTGGCGATTTCGAAGAGGCATTGGCCAACTTCAATGACACTCTTCTCTACCTGCGCGGAAACACTATGATCGACTACGCCCAATTGGGTCTGCTCTTCAAGCTCTACTCTTGCGAGGTGCTCTTCAACAGAGGCCTCTGCTACATCTACCTGCAACAGAAAGATGCTGGTATGCAGGATCTGTCATACGCTGTCAAGGAGAAGGTGGTAGAGGACCACAACGTTATTGATGAGGCGATCCGTGAGGAGGCAGAGGTAAGGAAGGTACCAAGTCGAGCTTTGAATAGTGCTGACAATTCCTCAAGGGATACACCGTTTTCTCGATTCCCGTCGGCGTTGTGTACCGTCCGAACGAAGCAAAGGTTCGCAACCTCAAGACGAAGGATTACCTTGGAAAGGCTAGGCTAGTCGCCGCCTCTGATCGCGCGAACGCCTTCACAGGCTTTGCCGGGTCCGAGATCAAGAATGTAGGCAGATCGGTTCCCATTCCAATCAGCTCTTATGGGAATCCATTTGCTAATCACAGACTTTTTGGTCTACAGGCCGGCAAGAACGACGTCAAGGACGACAGACCATCTGATAATATTTCATTCGCTGCCACGAACCTAGTTAAACCTGGGCTGGCCTCAAGAAGACAACAGTCCGAGCCGCCCAACGGCCGCGGTGTCTTCCCTCCGACACCTCCTCCTGACCAGGTTGAGGCCAACAATGGCGGCGCCATGTCCCGTGGACAATCCGTCCGCAATGGGCCCAAGCCGATGCTTGCGAAGTTGAACATCGAGAACTCCAGACCCAATGAACGGTACCAAAAGACGAGCAGCCCCAACGACCGCCGAGGACCTCCGCCCATGATGAGATCCGAGTCACGGTCGGCAACTCCTAGCAGAGGATACTCGAGACGCGACATGCAAATGCGCGGCCGGCCTGCTGATGAGGAGGCCGAGGATGCTTACCCTGATGAACTATACGACATGTACCAGAGCGGCGGTGGTGGCAACAGCACAAGAACCAGCCGGCAACCCTCCCGCCGTCAGCAGTCCCAACGGTACATGGATGAGGAAGACGATGGCTCCGACTATGGCTCCTTCGATGAGGGTGACTTCGAGATGGTTTCCAATAACAATAGACGCCCAGGCACGAACTCAATGTCCTCCCGCGGCGGCTCAAGGAGACCCGAAGTCCGCAAGATCCGTGTCAAGGTACACGCCGAGGATGTTCGATACATTATGGTCGGCGCCGCAGTCGAGTTCCCCGACTTCGTTGACCGCATCCGGGAGAAGTTTGGTCTTCGACGACGGTTCAAGATCAAGATCCGTGATGAGGATGTGCCGAATGGCGATATGATCACCATGGGTGACCAAGATGATTTGGACATGGCGATCATGAGCGTCAAGAGCCAAGCAAGGAAAACGAGGCAGGATATCGGCAAGATGGAGGTAAGCATCACCCCAACAACTACTTTGCCATTGGGACACAAGACTAACTGAAATTGCAGATCTGGGTCCAAGAAATTATGTAGACGATTATACCCCAACCAAGCCTGTGACGACGTAATGACCAACAATCTGCTCGCCCTGAGCCCTGCAACCTTTCCTTCATCTAGTAAACACTTTTTACACTATTTTTTGCTGCATTTACGGATGGATTGGTTGTAGACAGGGCGTCTAAAATGGCGGAAAGTACAAGAGGAGGATAGTTCGAGAGACAGAGCCAAGCAGAGCTGGCTCAATGGCACCCCCACGGCCGCGAACAACATGATCATAGCGTTGCATTGTTTAGAAACTGGAACAGTTCGGAGGCGATTGGCGTGGCGATAACACTTTTGTATCCCCCTACGGTTCACCATCTCTCCTTGTCCGATACAATTTCTACCTCATCTACACTGTCTGTCTTGTTACGAGATCCTGTCCATCATCTACGAGATCGTTGAGAGGCCCGCAACACTAACATTAATGCAAATACCATTGCTCACTACGCTCCCTTTCTGTATATATGTGAACGACTTGGTGTGAGAGCAAGCTTCTTTGAAGCCATGGTATTCAGGGACAAAGGCGGCAATTCTCGTTATCTGCGTGAAGGAGTCACGCCAAGTAGAGACAAATGAGCTCAATTGAACACGACATTTTTTGTTAGGATCCCCGTCTAGTTATTACACGCCAATGATGTCAGCTCTTTCGGGTCAAAATATCCATGGCCAAGTCGAGTCGGGCAAGCTCACGTGCGAGTAGTGTGCTTGATCGAGCAACCTGATTCATGAAGCTTTGAGCATTGACAACCATTTGCAAGCATGGTAATCTTTTCTTTCCTCGATTCAAAGCCTGGGACGGGCAGAAAATATTACTTCCAGACGAAACAGCCGCAGTACACACACACAACCTATATCGTACAAAACCACCTCACATCAGAGTCGTGGATTTGCTTGGTTTTAAGCTTCCCCGCACACGCAACGACCAACACCCAGAGTCTTCTTCCCCACAACAGAAGCGCTTTCTTGTCCTCCTACACTGGCAGAGAAAGTCAAAGGTTTTCCTTTGCTGCCCACAGTAAGGTCCAGTATGGAGAGAAATGGAGAAATCTCTCCGATGCTGGATATTTGCCTAGTTTGCTGGTCCTAAGGGGAAATTCCCATCCCCTTATTCTTCGACTACCTCCTGCTATGCTCCTCACTGCTCAAGGCAGAGCTCGAACCTCGCCATGGTCTCAGCCCGGCCCAGGAGCGCAAGCTGCAGCTTGGCAGGCTTCGCGCCGCGATTATGGTCGCCCGTGAGCACGAGCCTCAGCAGCGCGTAGGTAGCCTTATTCACAGCCTTTGCTGGCTTCTCGGGGTCGACGGAATCGGCATTGCGGCTCGCGAAGTCGTTGATGGCGGACTGGAGACGTTCGGGGTGCCAGTCGAGCTCGTGGATTTCGCGGAGGGAGGCGTGGAGGTCTTGGAGGAGGGCGTGCGGGGAGGCGGTGGTGTCGGGGAGGGAGAGGTTCTCGAGGGAGCGGGTGTAGGATTGTGGGGAGGGGCGGAGGAAGAGGGAGGGGTGTTCGTGGATGAGGTCGAGGGGGTCTATGGGGGAGTCGAGGGCTAGGGTGCGGTAGATTTGGAGGAGGTGGGATGGGGATGTTGAGGGGGAGGCGAGGAGGGGGGTTAGGGTTGTGAAGTCTTTGGTTAGGAAGAAGTGTTTTTGGTTTGTTGGGGAGGTGAGGACTGTGTTTGTGGTGGATGTAGGAGGAGGAGGATGAGCCCCGGTCTCGGTGGAAGGGGGAGGTGAAGGCTGAAGGAGAGATGAGATGTGTGCGAGGAGCTTGGTTATTGGCGGGAGGAGGGCCTGTTGGAGGAGCTCTTCGTCGGGGTTCTCTTCGCGGAGGCGGTGGGTTAGGTGTTTGCGTTGGAAGACGGCGAGTTTGTCTGGGTTGGTCTTGATGTTGCCCTTTGTGAATCTCAGGGAGAACTTATTCGCAGTGTGTAAGTGAGTGTTCATTGAGTGATTCCTTCGTCGACAGAAGAGTCACAAAGCCAAGGAAACGTGATACAAAGAGGGGGTTTGATATGGAATGAGGAACTCTTACCTTCTCAGCCAGATCGCTCGTGGTGTAGAACACCTCGCCCCCCTTTGCGAGGTCCTTCTCGTTCATGCTCCAGCCCAGCAGCACAAGCCAGTTGTTGAGCGCGGAGGGGAGAATGCCCTTGTCGCGGTACGAGGAGATGTCAATGTCGTGGTTGCGCTTGCTGAGCTTCTCGCCGTTCTGGGCGCATAGGAGGCCGGCGTGGGCAAACGTCGGGGGCTCCCATTTGAAGGCGTCGTAGAGGGCGATGTGCTTTGGCGTGGAGATGAGCCATTCCTATTATCTGGTGTGAGCTACACTTATGTTTCTTGGAGGATTGCCCGAGAGCGAATGAGCAGGGGTTTCAGGGGT